CGTATACTTTGGCTATGATACATATGGTTTGTGTAGCTATGAGGAAAAATACAAGTATGAAACTATTGTGTTAACTTCATTCACCTTGTACTTTTTCTTCATAACTTTATAAACTAGATGAAAATTATAATTTGTTCCAGATCCACAATTAGTTAAAAAAAAGGTGCGTTCTTTAAACATTACATAATATCTTGCGTTGTTGTATGTTGTTGTTATATGTTTCTACTGTTGTTCTTGAACCTTATTTTGTTGTATGTTGTTGATAAATGTTGTTGTATGTTATTATTGTTGTTGATTAATGTTTTAAGAACAAAAACAAAACATAACAACCATGATCATATATAGCGCGCTTTCATGTTTTCTACAATGGTCATAAGACCGTGATTGTATGTAGCGTATATACAACCACACCCTATGTAACAACAACAAGTCACGCGTGATGTTATCCTTTTTCCAACCGTTGTTGTATATGTTTTCCCTAGTAGTGAAAGACGAGTGTCCTTAATATCCATGGCAGACATTGAAGCAAATACAAAGGCAGACTGTTCGAACTGCAATAAAGCGACAAGAAGAAAAAATTTAGATTTGGAAGGATTCCCTCCGAGATTTATATTGTCTCCACAAGGATCAGTGCAAGGGAAAGAACGTCGTTCAACGGTCTATACATTTCTAAGCTTGTTGTGAAATTTTTTTGAAAGATCAAAGATACAATAGATAAAGGCTGAAAATATAAATACAGAAAATATAAAGTAAAGACTTAAAATATAAGCGGAGCTTTGATGAGATTGGATCTCATCAATTGATAACACATGCATTCTTCTAACCAGTTAAACACAAATCAATCATTCGTCTGATATCCTCACACATCACCCACAATAGAGGTTATGTCTAACGCAACATCGGGATAACAACCGTATTGTCTCATTGGTGATGTCTCACGCAACTCAACAACACAAAGCATTAAGGACTGATACTCAAGCAAATGTTAAGCCTAAATCTATGTCTAGAGTCTAGAACCTAACAGATAATCATCCTAGATCCATATTTGAAGAGTATATTTCTATAACGGTTCAAATCAAAGATAAACAGGTAAACAAAGATGATATCCATATAAACTTTATGATTGATTTATATAAAACACCATAATCAGAATACGACATACACTTAACCCTTTTTACATGCTTTCACCTAATTTTCCAAATGTACGTGAACATAGTTCTTCATCTCTATTATCACGCATCCTCACAATACCATATTGATCCTACTCATGCTACTAATCAACACAATAAAATAGAAGATACAAGTGAATATCAACTTACAAGATTATGTGATAAGTTTGCTCATTGATGGATAAATATCTAAGATCTAAGATTTGAAAAAGGTTTTGTCAAGACCCACAAATAAAAAATCAAAGACAACATCAATATTGAATCAAAACTAGTTCACAAACATATCTTAGATGAAATATATAAGGTATCAAAAGATTACATACAAACCCAACAAGAGATCTAAGCTCTTACCTTCTCCCTCTTAGACTTTGGGTTTCTCTCTCTAGAATATGCTTGGAATGAAGAGAGATAAAGTTCTGATCCTCAAAATATCTAAATTACAAGTTTTTTGTTCTAAAAAGTAAGAAAAGTACATATATATTAAAACAAAAATCTATCATGTTCACCTAGCGAACACCTTTTTTGCCCAGCGAAGACTACTTTTGGACACTTCAAGTGCCTCAAGAACAATTAAACTGCCCTTGTAAAATATTTGAGTTTGTTGTGCGAACACTTCTTCGCACAACGAACCTCTTCACTACATATTCGCCCAACGAACTTAGGATCATTTTCCTACTGCCTTTAATCTGGGCTGGTTCGTTGGGGCTTCCCCAGGACATCGCACAACGAGCATTCGTTTTCCCTTTGATGGTGTTCGCACAACGAACATGCTGATTTCTCTTTATTTCTTTGGCTTCCTTGTCCAATCATTTGTGTATTAATCATTGATGTTTTATTCTGATATTCTGCACAATAACATACACATCAAAGAATCCAAAGGTATTTGGAATATAATTAAATAATCACACAAGAAGAAGAAAAAAATCTATTAAAACTTGAGAATTAAGTTAAAAAATTCCAAGAAAGATGGTTTATTTTAAGTCAAAATTTGCACTTAACAAACTCTCATCAACTAGATTTTTGCTTGTCCTCAAACAAAGTATGCCCCTTATGAAAACAAGAGAGATTTACTCAAACAAGAGGATTTACTCAAGCATAAGATTCAACCAATAAAGGATTAATAGTTCAAATTCAAACAAGAGAGATTTGGTCAAACAAGAGGACTTGGTCAAGCACGAGAATGCATACAAGCAATGTTCACCACTCAATAGAATCGAACAATGATAAAAAATTTAGTTCTTAAAAAAATATCATGCAATTTTTTAAATAACAACTAAGTTCTCATACTTGAATCACTCTAACACTCCTCTTCAAAATAAGAATGAAGAAATTAAACGCGTTTGCAACCGCGAGAAAATTTCACTCACCTGACAAAGAATGCTAATAACAATCCAATTCATATATTCATCTAATCAATCAAAAATGAAATTATAGAAGAAAAAAAATCACTAAAGGCTTTAAAGGTTGTAGCTTGGTCGGGTTCACAACAAGGAGACATTTCTAAAGGCCATTGAATTGAAATTGCCAATGCAAAAGAAACATTCACTATACATGGTATTTACACATCACAACTTCATTCACCATTTTCTTTCCTCTATTGCTCACTCTTCTTAAACTTCCTTTTGCACAATTATTCAATTCTCTATTTTTATTTTTCAAACAAGTATTCTTTTTCTTTTATTTTTCACATTCACGTTCACACTTTTTCCATACTTGCTTGAAATTTTTCGAATTTTTTAGCAACCTACCATTTTTCTTTTCATTCTCCCTAACTTGAATTCAATCAAACCTCAAGTGAATGCTTCTTGCTTTTTATGGCAAGGAAACCAATTTAAAACATTGTTCAAAGGTTCAAGATTTTTTATTTAGAATCTCACAAAATTCAATGATGCACTAAACTTTCAAATTATGTACATAAACCAAGTTCATCACTAAAATGAGATCTAAACTATTTAGGCTCAAAAGGGTTAACAAATACTCACTACTCACGGGTAAGTTACTTTTCGGATACGGTTGTGCTCAATATAAACAAATGCCTTTATCATTTCTAAGCTTCCACAAAATCACAATAATCAAAATATTAAGCACGAATCAAATGTATTAAACAAAGTTTATCAGTAATTCTAAGCATATAGTAAACAATGGAGATTTCTCACAATTTATGGCCTTTGGACCTAAGTGAAACAAGCATTCAAACAAGTTGCAACAAGAAATAAGGATACACATTTGCACAAAGCACAAAATTCTTAAATCATCCTAACATTCTATAAAGCGGTAACCATGTACCTTGCTTGCATTCACATGTTTAACATCCTACCATCACCATCCAAATTTAAGAGAATCTTCATTGAATACTTTTATATAAATAGTAACCAATCTAGAAGAAGTTCTTATCATTCATCCCTAAACAACACTTAAGAAAACGTAAAGGAAACAAATATATATACAATATAAACAATTGACAAAGCTTAAAAATATAGAAACTATTGTAATGCACTTCAATATCTAAACACCAATCCCCGACAACGACGCCATTTTGTTCGAACTGCAGTAAAACGACAAGAAGCAAAAATTTAGACTTGGAAGGATTCCCTCCAGGATTTATACCGTCTCCACAGAGATCGGTGTGAGGGAAAGAACGTCGTTCAAAGGTATCCACATTTCTAAACTTGTTGTGAAAATTTGTTGAAAGATCAAAGATACAATAGATAAAAACTGAAAACATAAAGACATAAAATATAAAGTAAAGACTTAAAATATAAACGGAGTCTTGTTGGGATTGGATCTCATCAATTGATAACACATATATTCTTATAATAATTTAAACACAAATAAATCATTCTTCTGATATCCTCACACATCACCCACAACAGAGGTTATGTCTAACGCAACGTCGAGAGAATAGTCATATTGTCTTATTGTTGATGTCTCACGTAACTCAATAACACAGGACATTAAGGACTGATACTCAACCAAATGTTATGTCTAAATCTATGTCTAGAGTCTAGAACCTAACAAATAATCATTCTAAATTCAGATTTGATGAGTATATTTCTATAACGGTTCAAATTAAAGATAAATAGGTAAACAAAGATGATATTCATATCAACCAATAAAAGACATATATCATCTCAAATTACTCTTTTATTTTTAAAATACTAGTATCAATGGACAAGTTTAAACGAATATCTATATGATTTATACCAAAAATTCACTATTTTAAAACTCTTTTAATATTTATAATCTTATAATTATAATAAATAATAAAAAAAGAAAACGACAACCACGCCAATGCAGCAAAATATCACAGATACAAAAAGAATAGTACACCGTTTCTGTCAAACCACCGTAGTAAAACTAATCCTTGGCCGAGCCCCACCACGTTTTGAAATCATTCTCCCACTTGACTCAATTAATTCATCAAACTTAAAAAGTTGCCCTTAATATGGTCCCACTTTTACCAAAAAAGCAAACATCAATAAAAGCTGAGTATAATAATTTTTATCCAAAATGCAATTTAAACTATTTATTTATTTATTTGGCGTAAATGTAATACCAATTTTATTTTCTGATACAAAATTAAATAATCTCTATGTGCCAAAATTAAGTGGTTTAAAAATAAAAACCGGATAATCATTCTTTTCAGCAACTGCGGAATACCTTGTCAACAATATAAAAAAATATCTAGAAAATATCGTCCTTATCCAAATACCAAACCCCACAAAATTTCGCAGTATTTAACGGGTTATAGTATAATATAAACCACCATCATTATGCAGCCTTATCGTTAACACTATTTCTTCGTTTCTCTGAAATTACTTTTCCGGAACAATGAATTCATCAGCACTACTTCGTCCTTCTTCTCCTCCTCTGCTTTTTCATCGCAACCGTTTCGTTATTTCTTCGTCATCTAGAAACCATTCTTACATCCCTAAACTCGAACCTTTTAGCCGATCCAAAATCGACAGAGTCGCGAAAAACCTTCCCCTCATTGAAAAAACTGAAAAAGATCTCTCCGGTGCGTTCCGTCCCCTTTTATTTTTTTCATGTTTATTTTCATCATTTGATTTTAATTTATACTTTTAATTTTGTTTTGCAGATTATTGTTGTACACTTGAAGGCGATAAATGTTATAGTTGCTGGCAGGCTTATTTTGCACTCAAAGATCTTGAAGTAGGTTTTCTCTTCCGCTCTTATTCATCACTTTGATTTTTTATTTGTTAGATAAATCTTTGAAAGAAAGATTGTATGTTTCACAGAAGGAGCAACCAAGAGCAGATATAGAGAGGTTAATTATTGAGATTAGTGGTATAAAATCCTTGATAGGATGTTTACCTGCAATTGCTATAATGCATAAATCGAAGAAGAATGAAATAGAATCAGAAGATGAACAAAATCGTTGTCCTAGACCAGATGGATTACCTAAATCTGCTGATGAAATGAGGGAAGAAGAGGAAGCAAAAATGCCTGATTCGTCTCATACTAAGCTTCTCAGATTAATGGGAAAGTCGCCTGCTTGGTATTCTAAAGTACCAGATCATGAAACAGATTGATGATTGATTATGTGAATACGTTAGTAGTAGGTTAGTTATGGTCCCATATTTGTTAGCGTTTTATATTTTTTTTGCTTCGACTGTTGCTTTTCATAAGTCCTGATCTCATGTAATTTCAGGAAGTAATGTATATAACAAGGTTTTGTTTTTCACAATTTTAAAGTTTTGATCTAACGTAGTGAAGTTTGATATTTTAATGATAGCTTTGAAAATTTTTTAATTTCTCATTATTAATTTTTTTTTTTTTTTACCAAAAGAGGGCTTAAAGATAAAAAATAAAAAACTAAACAAGAAACTCTAAAAGTATGGGCTCGAGACCTCATTACAATTGATAATTAAATTCCAAATCATTTTAATTTGTCATATACCTTCTTCAAATAAATCTTTATGAGAATTATCTCGTGAGAACTATCTCGTGCGTTATAATAATATTGTGATGAATATTCCTCTCTAAAATAAAATTAGACGGGTGCATAGAGATGATATTATTCAAAGGAGGATTCACATAATTTTATAGATCACATTGTGCTGGGTAATGAGACGAAACTGCATGAAAAATTCTGATTGGTCAATTTTAAAGATAAGTATTAGAAGAGTGTTGTTTGCAGAACTAATAAAAAAAATGATCACTCTAGAAATTACTAACAAATTGGTGTAAAAGTAATTTAGATGATTAATCAAGTGACAAAGAAAATTCAAAAAAAAAAAAAAAGCAAAAATATTTAATTAAAGAAATGAAAAAAGAAATGAATAAATTAAAGTTTATGAACGAGTGATGAGATATTACACAATTTGTGCTCATGAGGTAACGGCTAACCCTCTCAAACAACCATGTTTTATTTCCCGCAGAATGACCCTGTTTCTCAGATTACACCCAGTGACCTCCACTTGGAAACGGAAAGCAAAAATCCAACTTTTCACGACCCTTTCGCAAGCTTCGGAACCATACCCCTCTCACGTGATCTCCACCAATATCTCCATCGCTCACTGCGCCAAAACCGGTAAACTTGAAGAAGCCCGCCACATGTTCGATGAAATGCCGCTTAAAACAGTTTCCTCATGGAACACCATGATTTCTGGCTACTCCCAATGGGGGAACTACACTGAGGCTTTGACTCTTGTTTCCATCATGCACCGTTCTTGTGTCAAGTTCAATGAGATTTCTTTCTCAGCAGTTTTGAGTGCGTGTGCCCGCTCTGAGTATTTGTTCCTTGGAAAGCAGGTTCATTCCCTCCTTCTGAAATCTGGATATGAGAGGTTTGGCCTTGTGGGAAGTTCCTTGTTGTATTGTTATGTGCGGTGTTGTGGAGTTAGAGAAGCTGAGCAAGTTTTTGAAGAGCTGTGTGATGAGAATCACACATTGTGGAGTTTGATGCTTGCAGGGTATGTGCAGCGTGACATGATGGGTGATGCTATGAAATTATTTAACAAGATGCCTGTTAGGGATGTTGTGGCTTGGACTACGTTGATATCTGGGTATGCCAAGAGGGAAGATGGGTGTGAGAGGGCTTTGGATTTGTTTGGGAGTATGAGGAGGAGTTCTGAGGTGTTGCCTAATGAGTTCACTTTGGATTGTGTTATAAGGATTTGTGCTAGACTTAAGGTTCTGTATGTAGGGAAGGTTGTTCATGGACTTTGCATTAAGGATGGTTTTGATTTTGATAACTCCATTGGTGGTGCACTTGCTGAGTTTTATTGTGTTTGCGATGCTGTTGATGATGCGAAGAGAGTTTATGATAGCATAGCAGCAGAAGTTTGTTTGAACGTTGCTAACTCATTGATTGGTGGCCTTATCTCGATAGGGAGAGTCAAAGAAGCTGAGCTGATTTTTAATGGATTGAGAGAGAAAAATCTCATCTCTTATAATTTGATGATTAAAGGTTATGCGATGAGTGGTGAGTTTGAAAACTCGAAAAAATTGTTCGAGAGAATGAGTGTCAAACATTTAACATCCTTAAATACTATGATTTCCGTATATTCCAAAAATGGTGAACTTGATGAAGCTGTGAAGCTTTTTGACAAAACTAAAGGTGAAAGAAACTGTGTAACATGGAATTCAATGATGTCGGGTTACATTCATAATGGTAAACACAGTGAGGCATTAAAGTTATATGTGACTATGCGTAGATTATCAGTAGTGTATAGCAGATCAACTTTCTCTGTCCTATTTCGTGCTTGTGCGTGTCTCTGTTCTTTTCAACAAGGCCAGTTGCTTCATGCACACTTAGCCAAAACACCATACCATGCAAATGTTTACGTCGGGACTGCTCTTGTGGACTTCTATTCAAAATGTGGTCGCTTGGGTGACGCTCAAAGGTCTTTCGCCAGCATCTTTTCACCTAATGTAGCCGCATGGACAGCTCTTATAAATGGTTATGCATATCATGGACATGGATCTGAGGCGATTTCACTCTTCCACTCGATGTTAGATCAAGGAGTTGTTCCAAATGCCGCTACTTTTGTTGCTGTTCTTTCTGCCTGTAGCCATGCTGGTCTAGTTGACGAAGGTTTGGAAATATTCCATTTAATGCAGATAAGCTACAGGGTAACCCCAACAATAGAACATTACACATGTGTGGTGGATCTTCTTGGTCGATCAAGCCGCGTGAAAGAAGCAGAAGAGTTTATTATAAAAATGCCTGTTGAAGCAGATGGTGTAATTTGGGGTGCTTTGCTCAACGCCTCGTGTTTTTGGAACGACGTGGAAGTGGGAGAAAGAGCTGCTGAGAAGTTGATCAGTTTGGATCCAAATTCAGTATCTGCTTTAGTTATTCTGTCTAACATGTATGCTGTACAAGGCAGATGGGGGAAGAAGACAAAAATTAGGAAGAGATTACAGAGTTTGGAATTGAGAAAAGATCAAGGATGCAGCTGGATTGAGTCGAACAATAATATTCATCTCTTCTCTGTAGAAGATAAAACACATCCTTATTCTGATGTTATTTACAAAACTGTAGAGCATATAACAGCAACCATTAATTCTATCGGACCATTTAATTGTCATTATATCAGCAATGTCGGTTAACATTTCTAATACAACATGCCCTTTCTGGTCTTATTTTTGTTTCAGATGTGGCCACTTAAATTTTATAATGAAGCACAACAAAGTCTTCCAAAAGGTGAGATTTTTCAAACTTAACCTTGAATGGGATAGATTTTGTAAACTAGTTTCAGTTAAAAAATGATTTATATTTAGATTTCAACCACTTGAATGCAAAAGCAACATAGATTGCACACCTACTTCTTCTAGCCACTATATTTCAGACTGAAAAAACTTTTATTACATTATTTTTAATCTGTAAATAGTTTATTTTTATTTTAGTTATTTTTCCTATTATTGGTAGTAATCTGTATTCGGACTTTTACTCCATTAGTCAAACCTGTTAGGTTAAAAAGTTCATATAAAAAGATTAGTGCTTGTACATTATTCATACTTAAAGTATATTATTCAGTTTTCACAAAACCATATTGGTGTAGAATATTTTGTTTATGGATTGTATGTGAAAAATTATGGTTGAAATATTGGTGTAGAATATTTTGTTTATGGATTGTATGTGAAAAATTATGGTTGAAATATTGCTGAAATCCCTGCTCACTACCTGGTTGTCCAAGGTGGAGGTGGTTGGAGGAATTGGTAAAGTGTTTATTCATCATCCAAATCACTGGGCGTAGATTGCTGTATGAACGACAGAGACATCATTATTTTTCAAACAGTAGTAGCAATTAAGTTCTATTTGTAAGAATGCCTACTTGTGATCATCTTATAATGGAGTTGAAGTAGAATGGTTTGTAAATAAGTATGTTTGAATTAACATTTGCACTATTTATGGATGAAATATCAACATGATAGGACAATTCTATCAGTTTTCAAGTAAGTAAGTTTATGAGACAAATGGTTCATATTGTGGATATAGCCATGGAGGTTTCTCTTTTACAGCTAACAAGGTCATTTGAGCTATTTGATAATGACAATGTACAAGTTTAGAAGCTCAAGTTTTACTCAAAATCCACGTGAGAATATGCTACAGTTCTTTGAATACCCGGGTTTTAGATATCCAGAGAAAACAATAGTTGCTGCCGTTTTACTAGCAACAATATTAGTTAAAAAGAAGAACCTTATAGCTGTGTTTTGGTTCCTGAACCTTGCAGCCCTTCAATTCATTTCGCAAGTGCATGCAAGAATTTGGGTTTCTTCCAAGTAACAAACTATGGTGTCCATCTCAGTCTAAGGCTCAGAATTGAAGAAGCTTCTAAGATGTTCTTTGAACACAGTCTGGAGGAGAAGAAGAAGCTTACCACTGATGATACTAGTTTGCCTGGTTATCATGATGCAGAGCATACAAAGAATGTCAGAGACTGGAAATAAGTGTTTGATTTTCTATCCAAAGATCCCACTTTGGTTCCTTTGAATTCTGATGAACATGATGATCAAGTCACTCACTGGACTAATCCATCATCGCAATACTCTCGACATTTCAAGTAATTCGTCTTCAATCCATACTATTAATTCTTTAATATCAAACTGAATAATTTCAGTAATTAGACCAGCACCCAAAAGTCCCAATTCTCAATTATTTATAGAATTTTAGTAGAGTTGGGTTTTTGGTAAAGGTATTACCAGTTCGGTTCAAACCATTTGGCCTACGTCCTTACCACTATCCTCCATGTCCTTACTCTTGGTGCTGGTTCACATGAGGACTCTGGTGTCTTACTATTCTTGTCCAAGATGAAATTGGAGGACTTGAAGTGAAGAGGAAAACAGATCAAACAAATCAAGAGTGGGGGTTCATGTGAAACCCATCCCAGATGCTTATATTGTCAATGTTGGTGATCATATTCAGGTACAAAAAAAACATTGAAATTTTATTGAATTTAGTCTAATAAATACTGTGTTTGTTGTTTTCAAACTTTATGAATTGCTTAATTTAACCCCTTAATTAGAAAGTGAGCCATAGCACAAGGCTAAGGTTGTTGCCTTGTGACATGAAGGTTATTAGATTTTTATCTTAGATATAATTTAATGCATTTCTTTTCAGATAACCGATCTAAACTATCAAGTTAAAACGGTAGAACGCAAAAAAGAAATATTGATCTCAAGATATGTTTCTCTTTATATTATTTAAGAGAGCAAAATATAACAGTAATTCTTGGACTAAAGTCACATAAACAGCACAAACAAAATTTGTGAATGCGCACTGCTCTGCATCTCTGACTATTCTGGTGTGTCATTATTAGTTGCTTCATACTCTCCTAATCATTATTCGACTGAGGGGACTTCGGTTAACACTTAAAAGATAAATCAAATGTTAGCTGAGAAAGAAAAACAGTCGAATTTAAGTTTCGCTGAAGTCCTCTTAACCGAATAATAGTTGAGAGAGTAAGCCAAAGTCAAATATGAGACAGTCAAATCTTTCACATGTACACAGTTCTGTGCAGTAGTTAGTGTTTATGTCATATCAGTTCTCACTTCTCAGCTTAAGCCAACATATAATAGTAGTTAGTGTTTACGTCATATCACCTCTCGGATCAAGCCAACGGAGAATACAACATGGAGGGACATTGGTTAACACCTACAAATAAATAAAATGTTAGTAGAGAATGACAAACAATTGAATCTAAAGTTAACGAAAATCTTCTTAGTCGAATGATAGTTAGGCGAGTATGAAACAAATGAATATGAGATAGTTGAATCTTTCTCAAATCCACATAGTTTCACAAAGGATGTTGATATGTACCTCTAATTCGGCTGATTATGATTAATTATACCGATTAGAATTTATTATTTTATTTACTTTTAATAAGTTAGCTTAACAAAATTTTTAAATTTGAATTTCAGTATTTTAGGATAACCTTTAGGATTAAAACCAATTTTCTTATTTAAATGATGGTAAATTCAAGGAAAAGTTAGTTATTAACCTAGTCAAATTAGGACTCAACTTTCTAGAGTAACTTGTAAGGCTATTTAAAGGCATTATGACTGGGAATACAAATCATCAATAATTATTATTGAAAAATTGTGAATTCAAGAATAGATTTTGTCAGGGATGAGTCCTCTTCTGCCTTCATCACAGATCGAATAAAATGTTCTACTGTGTCTAGGAATGTGTCAATACGATCCCGGACCGGAGACCATAACAGTTTGGGATTGCTATCCAACATGGGTGTTGCGGATTTAACATCAATCATGAAAAATTTCATGGAACAAATGATAGCTAGGGAGACTGCTCTAGAAGAGTATATACTCAAACTATTGGTAAAAGATTAAAAGGATTAAAAATATACTATTTTTATTCAATGTCAAAATATAAAACATGAATTTTTTTTTATTGAAATCAATTAATATATTTATAACTTGTATATAATTTGGGTACATATTTTCACAATATGCAGTGGAAAAAAAATCACTTTTTTGTCTCCATACCCCATAATAAAAATCACAGATATGCTAAAACTAGTCCAGATTCAATGTACATATACTTGTGGAATAATAAGCACAAAAATGCTGATACGTTTCTTATGATGCTGATATATTTTGAAACAACCTTTTAAATAAAGAGAAACACAAGAAAACCATCTTCAACATTAATTTTTATGAACTCTAACAACAGAACAAACATGGGAGAGATCGACCCAGCTTTTGTTCAAGAACTAGAACACAGACCAAAACTCTCCATCATCGAAGCCAAAGGAATTCCCGAAATTGACCTCTCCCCATTATTCCCCCACCAACTTCCAAATCCATCTGCTATTGAAAGCTTAGTGAAGGAAATCGGAAGTGCATGCAAGGAGTGGGGATTCTTTCAAGTCACAAATCACGGAGTTCCTCTGAGTCTTAGGCATAAACTTGAGGAAGCTTCTAGACTGTTCTTTGCTCAGAGTTTGGAAGAGAAAAGGAAGGTTGCAAGAGACGCGATCAATCCAACTGGTTATTATGACACAGAACACACCAAAAATGTTAGAGACTGGAAAGAAGTGTTTGATTTTCTTGCCAAAGACCCCACTTTGATTCCTGTTACTTCTGATGAGCACGATGGTCGAGTTACTCAATGGACCAATCAATCTCCTCAATATCCTCCAAACTTCAGGTAGTTTTTTCATTTTCAATCCATACATATACATCATTCTATGTATTTAAATCTAAGCGAACATGAGCAGGGCTATAATTGAAGAGTATATTGAAGAGATAGAAAAGCTGGCCTTTAAGTTACTGGAGCTAATAGCTTTGAGCTTAGGAGTTGAAGCAAAGAGGTTTGAAGAATTCTTCAAGGATCAAACAAGCTTTATTAGATTCAACCATTATCCTCAATGCCCTTCCCCTCACCTTGCTCTTGGCGTTGGACGACACAAAGATGCTGGTGCCTTGACTATTCTTGCTCAAGATGAGGTTGGAGGACTTGAAGTGAAGCGAAAATCAAATCAAGAATGGGTTCTTGTGAAACCTACTCCCGATGCTTACATTATCAACGTTGGTGATATCATTCAGGTACTTTTGGCCTAATTGACATTGTTGTGATTTTATCTGCAAATCAATAATTACACTTGACTAAGAGAGAGTTGGGTTTATTGATTGTTACAGGTTTGGAGTAATGATGCATATGAGAGTGTGGATCACAGAGCAATGGTGAAGAAAGAGAAAGAAAGGTTTTCTATTCCATTCTTCTTCAACCCTGGACATGACGCTGAAATTAAGCCTTTGAAGGAGCTTATAAACTACCAAAACCCTTCAAAATATAAGGCATATAAATGGGGTAAGTTTTTAGTCAATAGAATAAACAGCAATTTCAAGAAACAAGATGGGGAGAATCTTCAAATTTATCATTACAAGCTTACTTAGAGAGTACAATACTTTAATATAAGTATCACAATGTTACTTAAGTTGTTAATGCAGTTGGTGTTTGTAACATATTGGGAAAACGGGTGACACGGTTTCACGTAAAATGTTTAAAGGGGTGTGGCCCAACATAGCTCTTATAAAATATAGAGATTTTCTTAATACATATTAGATAGTTGTTAACCACCATGCAAAATTATTTAAATGTTTCTAGATTTTAGAGATGCATCTCTGAACATATTTATTTAGGAATAAACGTTGATATATTTTGGAGATACATCTCTAGAACTAATTTAAACATTTTAAACATATCACTCAGAAGTCATTTATATTTGAATTGTTCTGTTGATGAATCTCCGTGAATATTTCGGACATACATTTCCGAAATATATCAGAACAAATATCTTTTACTATAAATTATGTATTTGTGTACATATGAAGTATAGCACACGATCCAAAATAAAAAAATAGACGTACAAAATAATAAGAGACTAATACTAGGTGTGTAAAAAGTAAAATAGCAATATATGTAGAAAATATCGTAAAAATTGAGATTCAAAATGTAGTAAAACCGTCAAAATAAAGTAGAAAGTATAGTACTACAACAAACTACTATTGTATGTGTCTGAAAACATCTCATTTACCACCTATGCCTGCTCTGCCTCATCGGCCATCAATCTCTTCATCCTTTGGCGATGTCTACGGTACAACAGTGTCCCCTGTGCTTCCGCCGTGATGTCATCTAGGACTCGCCTGACACCAGATCCATCAGGGAAGATACCCTCGTCAATGCCTACCCGCTCAATCTCCACTATGCGACGATACTTAGGCATGACATCATCAGTATAATCCAATTGAGCCTGCTCCTCCTCTAGTATCTTCTGATGAGCTGGTTTCGGCGGATCTCTTGGAGCAGCATGCACCACATACATATGTGAGACCCTGAAAAACCATTGGATGTACCCCTTGACGTAGCTCCAGTCGCTCGGGACTATGGTAGCTCGTGCCTCCTCCGGTAGCAGATGGCTCTCATAATCATCAAACATCTTTTCTATCTGTCTACAATTCAAGGCAGGAGGAGCAGAGACAACAAAGTATCCGAGAATGGTCTGTGTGTACCCGAACTTCCGCATGACACACTTGGGCAGATGAAGAGCATTGAGACACGATCCGCAGAACAACCATCCAAAGTATAACACTATCTCGTCAAATGACTGCATCTGACGGTGATCCACGTAGCTGTTGAAGTGCATGTCCTCATCAACCAAATAAACAAGGTAGACTCTGAAAGGCTCGATCGCCTGGTACCCTCTGAGCGAGATGAAAACACATGCATGCGATATATTTTCAGTGTACTAAGGCACACTCGCCCAGCCAACGATGCCTGAGAAGTGCTGGAGGATACAAGCGTGAAATAAAAAAGTTTGGAACACACGAATCATCGGCAATGGTTTCGCAAATATGAAATGAAAATGACTAAAAAAAAACAATCAAGTGAAGGTGTGAAAAATACACAAGAAATGGGGGTTTGAATTGGGTATTTCCTATACTGAAACTTTTAAAAAATTTCTTTTGAGTTGCTTTCTATAGTATTCTTTTCTTTGCGTTGCGGAAGTATATAAAGCAAGATATAAGTAAAGAACACAAGATATATCCTGGTTCACTTGAGCAACCCTCAAGCTAATCCACTCCACCCTTTCAAGGTGATTTCGCCTTACTCACGCAAGGACTTAATCCACTATAACCAAACTGATTACAGATATGCACAAGCTAACTGTAAGTGACTAACAAATGGACAATGACACGTTCATGGATCCATTAATGATATGACGTTCATTGATCCTACAAATGATAACTGTCACTAGTCATCTCAAGTATATTGATCTTCACAAGATCACTTGAGGAACCACTAATTCTAAAATAGAACTTATGTTATAGGAGATTACATGAGTGCTTCTTGATAAGCAAGTTACTCCTAATTTAGTATAGAGCAAGTATTAATGAGCAACAGCTCCTTGCATTCTAATATAGAAACTAATTTAAGGATGAATCTCAAGGAGATTATTAAGAACAATAGTTTCCAAATTGCTTAAAAGCTTTCATATGTGAGCACTGCAGCTTCTTAGCGTAAAAACTTTCCTTTGGTTATGCATACTGATTATAGCAAAACAACAACAACAACAACGTCAACTGCAACCATGGCAGCTTCGACATTTGAATGACTCAAATGTTCTTCTTTTATAGTGTATCCAAGAGATACGTTGTAAAGACAAAGACGTCCATTCAAATATTTCAACTGTCATATCTCCAACGAATAGAATAGTCACGTGTTGGAAAGTACAATTACATCACTTACTTTGTCTTTTGTACAGATCAGCTTCTGGCTTAACTTCTTCTGATGATGTATTTGATGAGTAGTTCATAAACTACTTTGGTATGATAGTGTAATAGCATCAGAGTCTTACTTCAGAACTTGTTTACCAGAGTTTATCAACACGTCTTCATCTGGGTGTTGCTACATAATCTTCAACTTCAGAATCTAGTCTTCAGAGTCTTTCTGCACTTGGTCTTCAGAGCCTTTAGCCTTCAGAACTTCAAGTCATCAGATTCTTCATAACGTAATTCTTCAGAAGATTATTTCTTCAGAGTCTTGATCGTCAGAACCCTTAAGTCTTTAGAGTCTTTCTGCACTTGGTCTTCAAAACTTCAAGTCATCATAGTCTTTAGAGCTTGGTTCTTCAAAGGACTACATCTCAGATGCATTGATAGCTTCCAGATCAAATACACTTCTCAGAACAGAATCCACAAGAGCATTGCAACACCAATATACAACATCTTTGGATCTTTCTGATTATGATCAGATACAGAGGCAAACTGCTTCTTGAATAGGCGCTTTAAGTTCTTTATCCAGAATATCACGTGGTACTTCACTCAGAGTTTCACTTTGTTCTTTGTTCAGAGTTTCCTTGAAAGCTATGCTTTAAGTCACGTCACACAAAGTAACTTCATATTGGCTTTCATGCACTTCTTGATATTGTTTGTTGATTTGATATATTTATTTAATGATCTACGCACAACAAACATTAGAACATAAAATGATTCTTTCATAAATACTTAATTGTTATCATCAAAACATAGAGATAACATGTAGAGACAATTCTTGCTCTTACAATCTTCCCCTTTTTGATGATGACAAAAACATGTATTTTGATAGAACATTTTATATAGAGAAAACACCAAGAATTAACATATTCAGAATTACAAGTAACAACTCCCCCTGAATGTGTTAATCTTAAAAAATCTTTTTATGCTTGTTCAGAGACTTTCACTGATCCCAAGGCTCACAAAAAAATTTAGATAACAGAATAAAATAAATAGAAGGGAAGGAGTACTTCACTACAATATAAGAGAATATAAGTCTTTAGCATCTGGACTAGTTCAACAGAACTTCCATCTTCAAATCTTTAGAACTTGTTTTCTCCAAACATCGTATCAAAGTCGTATATCTTCAGAATCTTCTAAAGTATTTGATGCTGTTTATCAGAAATTCTGTAGCATATAGATAAACTCTTCTTTCTAAATAAATTAGCCACGCTATTTATCAGAAGCAGAATTAGTCTTTCAGATTAGAAACTCCCCCTGAGTTTCAGACTGGGTAAAAATCAAGTATTCTGTCTTCAGACTAGCTTTCAGATCCCTGATTCTAATTCTGATGCTAATTCTTGCTTTCATGAAGATTTCTGATTCTTATGCTCTGATTATCATATTCACAGTCAGTTTACCCTGTCTGAACATTAGTTCCAGATGACTTTAACTTTCAGATGGTATTTCAACCTCTTGAACAATATTGGGTACATCTGATTCTGAACATATGTTTATGAGGCGTATAACTTCTATTATATGAACAACCAGTCATTCTAATTCAGAGTTCATTCATATGACCTGTCTTTAGAATGCCTAGTGAACTTGTTCAGAGTTCCTCAGTAAAACATCAAACAAATAGTTAGTAATAAACACAGTTTATATCAGAGCTGATGTTTTGTATTCTTATTAGATTGTATCAATCATAATTATATTTCCAGATTATATAACACTTAAGTTTATATCAAAAACAGCTCTATTTCTCCCCCTTTTTTGACATCATTAAAAAGGTGATAATCAGTTAAGAAAATAACAGAGAAATGAAAAACACAAAAAAAAAGAACCACTTCATTCATAAAAATATTCAGGTTAATAGACAGATGAACAATAGACACATCAAACATGTGCACAAACAAAAACAGAAATGAAGACTAAGGCTGGCGAGAGGCTATGATCTTCAGAAGATATGTGATCTGAGCAGTTGATTGTTCTTGCCTAGCCATCCAAGTCTTGATTTCATCAGTAGTTTGTTCTTGTTTCATCATCCATGTCTTGATTTTCTTGATTTCATCTTCAAAATCTGGTCTCTCAGTCTTGATCCCAGACGCAGGAGGAGCAGATAAAGATGTTGTTGGATGATCAATGTCCATTGCAGATGTAGCTTGAAAACCAGAAGAAGATGGTTGATCCACAATTATCAAAGCTGGCTGATTGGGCTCCACAACTGCTTCTGAAAGATCATCTTCAGGCACTGGTTCCACAGTAGGTGCAGAACTTGGAGGGATGACTTCTTCAGATGGTGCAACCAAAGTTCCAGAAGAAGACAATTCAACTTCTGACGGAGCATTTTCCAAAAACAAAGTAGGATATCTTCTGATGTTAAGCAGAGTCACTCTTACAGCTTCAGAAAATCTCTTCTGAGCTTCTTCAGCACAAATCTCTTGAAGGTTCATAGAAACAGAATTAAATCTGGCTTTGAATCTTTTCCAGACAACATCAGAATTATCAGGATTCAGAGTGGACACACAATCCTTCTGTACAGTGTAGAACCACGTACTTACCTCTTTCTCAAAACAAGATACAAGATTACTAACATCCATCCTAGGTTTGGGTTTAAGGAAGGTTTCCAAAGATGATGGTTT